ACGAAACAGTTTGTCACAGCCCCTCGTTTGTTGTCCTCTTCTCCCTCTCTGCCTACGGTTTACCGGGCAGTTCTATTTGACGATATATATGTTTTCATTCCTTGATTTTTTCCTTATTATGCAACCAAAAAAAAACAAAAAATACATAAAATCGAAGATGACAAAGAACTGACAACCAAAAATCCAAAAAAAAAAACTACTTTTTTTTTTGTTTTTTGTATTTAATTTCTCCTCTTTGCCTTTTCTGTTTTTTATTTTTTTTTAATTCCCTAAAGCTCATTGTTTCCTTAAAAAACAATATGGGGTTGTAGCGTTTGAAAAACCCTACAAACCCTTTTTTTTTTTCTTTTTTTTTTTTGCCCATTATTTTCGATGGGCAAAATCCGTGAAGAACATGGCCGCTATGCGGCCGACCCCCCCGCGGATGCGGCCATGAACTCGGCCACCCTCTAAGCTTGACCCCACGGCCGCGGCCACGGGTGATAAATATTCGGTAGGTACTGGTGGTTTAACACCAACCCTCGAAACCTTACCATCTGACCAAACTATGATTGAGATTGTCCCATTTTGGGTAGCAGCTTGGCTTCGGCTGCCCAACGCTGGTATCGGTACTGGTCGTTTTCCTATGGGCGTGGACTGGACATCTCGGTCGTGGCCCAACCATGGGTGTGACCTAGACATTTTGCCCATGACCCAGCTGCGGGCGTGAAAAAAAAAAAAAAAAAAAAAAACAACAACAACAACGAGTGGTTGCCTGATTTGCCAATTACAAATTTCCAACCGGGTATAACTGTGCAAGGAAGATGAGCAATAGCGAACTTCAGAAATCAAACAGCATCATACATATGAGACCAGATAGTCGTGACCTCGAACCAATAGCAGAATTGCATCACGAGTTGCACCAAATAAGGGCACACCAAAAACTCATAATTGACAATGCTGGAATAGTCTCATCATCATCAACGAAGAACCAATGTTGATATCTTATCTGGCGCTCGGCGCCCAGACTACAGATGGCAGATCCTATCTAGCCTACTCTACGATGCCGCTGATGACGTCAACAACTCCCCGAAGTACGAGCAGATCTCGGACAATGTCGTACGCTTCACGCACCAGGTACGTCTCTCGTATCACTCAAAACCTCGTTCCCCAACTCACAGATGCCACATGCACCCAAGGACCACCATGCGCCCCATCCAGCATACAGCAGTGCAGCTCGGCTATGGCTGCCTACTCCTTCCAGCTCGCCTGTGAGCGCGTGATCCTGGTCAGCGTTAGTGCAGCAGCGCTTGCGCAGCATGCAGCCAGTGCCCGAATGTCCAATGCGTAGGCAGGCCCTTCTCTATATCGAAGTGGCCTGCTGCTGTGTGCGGTAATGCAGTACCGGGCCCTGGCCCAGAAGCTTTTGGTAGGCCCCACAAGTCTGAGCCTCAGTCCGAAGTAAACAGGCCCAGGGCCTGTGGTGGTTACCAGCACCCAACTTCCCTCAGCCTTTGTTCGGTCGACTTTGTGTGTCCGGCCCAGGGCCTGCCTTAGTTACATGCAATGAAAGGCAGCCTGGGCCTGGGCGCTTCCAGCCAACTGACGCTGCGCAACTGCCTGAATTTCCCCAGTTGCGTGGTGACCCCAAAATGGCCTGTAGGCCTCGGTCGCGCCTGCCTTCACTTAGAGCGGCCGACTGTGTGGAAAATAGGCCCTGTAGGGCATATCGAGGCCCTGTGCCTCGCATTCCCTCCTCCATACTTCGATAGTCCTCTGAGAAGTTCAGTCTTCGATAATCAGGCGTTTTCCCTTCTGCAGAGTTTTCTTGTAGTGAGGGACAACCTGTGGAGCGGTTTGCATGAGTTCCTCCCGTGTGAACTGTCTATCCTCCTTTGGATCAGTGTGATGCGTGAACCGAACTCGGTACTGCATCTTTGGTTTTGGAGGACGTCCTCTGTCTGTCGGTCTTGGAACTGGCATCTCCCTGTGATCAACGATGTCGTCTATGTCGACCTCTCCGTCCATGGTTGGGGGCAGCATAGAGCGACGAGAGGGAAACTGGCCAGTTGCCTTGAATGTTGCAAGCTTAGAGGCGTGAAAAACAGGGTAAGTGCGAAGGTGTCCAGGGATCCGAATGACATATGAGGGTCCGTCTGATTCATCCTCAACTACATCTAAAACCTCCAATGGTCCAAAGTACTGTGGCATGAGCTTACGGGAAATCCTGTGCTCTTGTCCCAGTTCTGAAGCCTTGACCCAGACCCTGTCCCCTACCTGAAACATAGATGGTCGACGGTGCTTGTTCTCAGATTCGATCATCGCCGCCTGTGCTTTGTGCATGTGTTCTACTACGTGCTGCATATGACTCTCATATCTATAAGCGAACTCCCAAGTGCTTGGAGCAGCAGTAGGCTGGTTCTCAGGTAGCAAAAAGTCAAGGGGGAGTCTGGGTTTGAATGTTAGAAGTAGGCTATTAGGACTTATTCCCATGGCACTATGGATTGTGTTGTTGTATAGGCTGGCCATGAGAGCAAGCTTCTCATCCCAGTCCACTTAATTAGGCTTAATGTAATGCCTTAGCAAGTGTTGAACAGCGCGGTTCATTTGCTCTGCCTGTCCGTTTGCCTCTGGATGGTTCTCAGATGTCATCTGCAGCTGCGTTCCTTGTTCGGCAGCTGCGGCCTTCCGCAGTTCACTGGTGAATCAGACATCCCTATCGCTGATTATAGACTTCGGCAAGCCAAAGTCTCTGACCCAGTTTTCCTTAAATAGCTTGATAACGTACTTGGTCTTTGATGTTTCCGGCATGGCCACTAACCTGCATACTTACTAAATCTATCCACGATGATGTAGATGTACCTCATGCCACTCTTGCTGGTGATTAGCATATCCATGAAGTCCATGGACAGGCTTTCACCAGGCCTTTCCGGAATGGGAAGGGGCTTGAGCAGCCCAAGAGGAGCCTGTGTCCGGGGCTTCTCACGTTGACAAACTTGACAATTCTCGACATACAGTTTGACATCTCTCATCATCGTGGGCCACCAGAACCGCTGCAACAGATTGGCTGCAGTCTTCTTGAAACCAAAATGTCATGTGGCATCATGGTCCTCTCCTAAAAATAAACTACGCAAAGACTCTCTGTTAGGAACACACAATCGTTTATTCCCGGCCTTCTCAAGGAACAGCAGACCGTTTACCAACTCAAACTCGGCAGAAGTCACCTTGTCCTTCGCCTCGAGTCTGCGTACGATCTCAGACATGAACTGGTCCTCGCGATAGGCTTCCACCAACGAGCGAGTGACATCGTCCACAAGCCCAAACTCAGTGGTCAGCGCACCAGAGAAGTCTGGCCTACGCGAATGCGCGTCAACAACTTTGTTGTACTCACCTTTGAGATACTGGGGCTCGAAGTCATACTGCTCAATGACTTCGATCCATCGTTTCAGCGCATCAGAGAGCACATGCTGAATTCTCATCCACTTCAGGGTCTGATGATTAGTCCTTACGATGAAGAACCTCCCAAGGAGATAGTGCCTCAGGTGGGTTAGCACTTTATAGATCGCGTACAACTCCTTCTCATAGGTGGACTTGGCCAACTTCTGAGAGGGCATCTTTTTGGACATGTACTCCACTGGCCTCAACTTTGGCCCCTCCTGCTGCGCGAGCACGACGGCTATGCCATATTGGCTAGCATCCGTGGTAACTATAAACGGCTTGTCAGGATCAGGAAGTTTCAAGACCTCATGGTGTGTCAACGCATGCTTCAGATGTCTGAAAGCAGCCTCACACCTGTCTGTCCACTCCCATGGGGTGTCAATGCGAGTTAGGTCCGTCAAAGGGGCGGCAACTATGCTCTAGTTCTTCATAAAATTGCGACAGTAGTCGATCATCCTTAAGAAGGACCTCATCTCAGTCACAGACTGAGGACGTGGCCAGTCATGAATGCTGGCTACCTTCGCGTCATCGGGCTTCAAACCCTCCGCGGAAATCTCATGACCCAAGTAAAAGATCCGGTTGCGACCAAACTCGCATTTCTCCCCATTGATCTTGAACTTGTGTTGTCGAAGGAGACTGAGGACTTTATCTAAGTGCGCAACGTGCTCCTCGACAATCCTACTAAAAATAGGTATGTCATCGAGGTACACGATGACAAACTTATCCAAGTAGTCATGAAAGATCCGATTCATAGCGTGCTGAAAGGTGCTAGGAGCATTGCAAAGGCCGAAAGGCATCACCACAAACTCGGACAAACCGTACCTAGTCTGAAAAGCGGTTTTGTGCTGATCCTCGTGTCGTATTGCAATCTGATTGTACCCGGACTTTAGATCTATCTTATTGAATTATCGGCACCCTTGCACTCTTTCTAGCAAATCGTCGATGCGCGGTATGGCCTCTCGGTTCTTGAGAGTGATGGCATTGGGCCCCCTATAGTCAATGCACATCCTCAAAGTTCCCCCTTTCTTCGGCACAAATAAGACTGGAGATCCGTAAGGGGAGACACTCAGTCGGATCCAACCCTTCTCTACGAGTTCCTTGAGTTGCCGGCGAAGCTCATCAAGCTCGCCTGGAGATATCCGATAGATCCTACCCTTCGGGATGCTAGACCCTGGGATAATCTCTATCGTGTGGACGACCTCCCTCTCGACAACCCCTGTCGGCTCTTCAAATAGATCAGGCTACTTAGCAACTACTCCCTTTGTCTCCGGCGACATTTTCACCGGCTCGCCTGTTGCAGAGACATAAACTAGATACATACCCTCCTCCGGATTTTGCTTATAATAGTTGTAAAACGCAGCGGCACACATGCATCCGTAAGACTCGATCAGACTACTAGCCTTAAACTTCGTAATCTGGTGGTCCCTCCACCTGGCAAAATGTGCTTGACCACTTTTCGGTCCCAGTTAAACTGGGGCTGTGCAACCAAAAGATAGTTCATACCCAATAAGATATCCATTGGGAGATCATCGCTGACTAGGAACGAGACGCGATGTCCCAGTTCCCCTCTTGTGTACGGGAAAGAATACTCAACATCCTGGAGGTAGTCATTAACTACCATGCGCTGTTCGTTGGCACAGGTCGACTCCACAAGTCGACTCAGGCGTTCCACTTGCCCCTGTAAGCGCAGTCGCTCAACGCACGCGCGACTAATGAAGTTCCTTGTCGAGCAAGTGTTATAATAGGCCCCGGCCTTGCGGCCGCCGATGACTACCTCGCCGACGAACATCTCTCCCTTAGGGGCTTTAGCTAATGTTGTCCAAGAAGCTAGGGGGTCTGATCTAGACCACTCCTCCTTTAGCTCCTCTAAGGATTTAAACACATTCATCAAAAAAAGGCTCGATAGGTGTGAATGTGTTTGTGGGACGACGATGGAGTCAGTAGCTTGGGCCATCTCTCGAGATGGTGAGGGTGTGTCCACCACCTCGACCCTAGCAGGATCAACTACTATTCATACTAGCTCGACGCGTTTCCCGGAGCAGTGCCAAAAGTGCTGGCCACATTGCTGCCAACGGGAGCGGAGGATCCCAATGCCTACCCCATCGTAGGCGAGATCTTTTCGGTCACCTTTTTATTTTGGGACTTGAACTGGTTATGGTCGTATTGGCCACAACGGATACAAGCCTGCCGCGTGTACCGATCTCTCCACACGCCCTCACTAAGACCCGCTTTCTCCCATGGAGGAGCATTGGGGTCAACTCGACTCCTAGACCGGGAACCTCCATGGTGTGTACCGGTCGCCTTACCTTTTTGAGCTACGACAGCGACTACTCCACCCCCTGAAGCTTCTACGCTGCCAGCCTTTGAACCCACTCCCGCCTTGGAAGTCGTCGTCCAACTCGATGGTGGAACCATCGTTGTCGACGAATATGATGCGTCCCTTCGCTTTCCAGTTGGAAGGCAGTGTCTGACCATGCCCTATCTTTGCTTCCAGGTCTAGGGCCTTCTTGCTAAACGAGGGGAAGTTGTGCATGTTGATGTTGGCCTCACCTGCCAACTGATTCCTGAGGCGCATAGGAAAACATCTCAGGTAGGAGGTGAGTAAAACCTGGGGGTCATAGCACACCCCAGGGACACATATCAGACGCTCTACTGCGTTTGTGGCTTCCCTTATTGACTTAAACTGCCTAGTATGCAGAGTCAGGATCGCATCAGTGGCCTTTTGGGCCTCCTGAGGATCATGCCACATGTCTTCCACCATCTTGAGGAAGTCATCCAATTTCTGGTTGACTGCCCAAGCACGGAAGTCATGACTGTATCCTTGTAACTGCACTAAACCGCTCAACCATCTTGCTGCACTCCCCTCTAGATAGGAGGCAGCCACCAGCACTTCCTCGTGCGGCAAGGTAAGTTTACACTTAACATAGACTGACACTGCCCTCAACCATGTGTCGAGGTCTTCCCGCCTCTTATCCCCTGTAAGGGTTTAGGAGCAGTGATGACCGTATTTGGAACCCACTGACTTTGTCTTGGTACCTGCACCATTCTAGGCTGTGGACCCTGTGGTGCAGGCTGCTGCACTTGCTGCTGCTGGGGCTGTGTACCCTGTAGCTGTGCAGGATGCGAGACAACAGGCTGCCCGCTTACGGCAACCTGCGATGGAGGCTGGGAGAACACTGTCTGTACAGGAACCTGTACACTAGGACCTGCTAAGAACCCTCTTGCTAACATACCCAGGGAAATGGTTTGGACCAATGCTGGGGAGACGTATGGGGATACCCCAGTCACCGGTGGGACATAAGGAGGAGGTTGTACAACGGGCCAAGCACCGGGCCCAGACAACGATGGTGTTGTCTGTGCTCGCCCAATCAGCAAGGCCAGACTCTGCTGGATGTCCTGAAGGAGAGCCGTGTGGTGGTCCTGCATCTCTACAACACCTAGCAGGACTGTCCGCAACGTCCTCACGTCTGCATCCATATGCGTCAGTTCCATTCCCTCTAACTCACTAACGCCCGCTTGTCTCCGCTGCATCCTGGCTCTTCTTCTAATCATTCTTTCCTTCTCCGCCTTTATCTCTCCTAAGGCCTTCTGTAGTTGTGCCTCCTGCAGTGCTGCCTGCTGTATGGCGATCTCATCGGAAGTCGACACTAATGGTTGGCTTGCCATGACTCCAGTGGACTGACTCAACTTGAAGGTCTGCGCGACCGTTGACCCTACGGCCCCTGAACTGCTGGCCTGGGAACTCTGCTGCGCAACAAGCTCTCCGCTGCTGTTATTGCCTCTCCCTAAGCTGGTGGAACAATAACCTATCACCCTCGGGCCCTAATGCCACGTGGGCAATTGGGCGTCTAGCCGATCGCAAGATCAGGTCGTCCTCACTAGTGGTATCCCTATCGCTCATAAGCTACAAAACTGTACACAATCTACACTAAGTCACTCTTTGATGCTTACCACAACGTAGTGCACAGACCGATTTATAATAATTAAACTAATTAATCGGTGGCTGCGTCAGAGAGTATATACGTTTGAGTCCAACAGGTACGTTCAGGTTGCTACAAACGAAACTACATTGACTTTGACTAGTTCGCAAACAGAAGCACAATGAACAGAAAACTGTTCTAAACCATGTTGTCTGTCAGATTTTAATGGCTGTACATCTAACTAATCAAAATAAAAATAGAATCATTTGTTGGGTCTGTTTGCAGAGTGGAATCTTGCCCAAACTTATCACCTGGAATCTACCCCTCCCTCAGTTTTTCCTGAATGTCTCTTGTCGCCAAGGTCCCTGAGCAATTCGGACAGCGTGGGTGTCTAAAGGTGTGCACACGGCCCACCCCTGTGCCCCGGGTCCTGCTGAGCTGGCCAGCCCTGCACAGTCTTTATCCTCGCGTGCAGCGAGCCTTACACCGACCGATTGGCTGATCAGGAGGCGTTTTTATGGACGGCCCCCGAAGTCCTCAGGAATTATTTAACGTCGCAAACAGGACGACGATCACAGCCAATGGAAGGTACCCCGCCGCTGCTTATTTATAGACGCCCGGTCTCGTAGAGTAGGCTAGATAGGATCTGCCATCTGTAGTCTGGGCGCCAAGTGCCAAATAGGATATCAACATTGGTTCTTCGTTGATGATGATGAGACTATTCCAACATTGTCAATTATGAGCTTTTGGTGTGCCCTTATTTGGTGAAACTCGTGATGCAATTCTGCTATTGCTTCGAGGTCACAACTATCTGGTCTCATGTGTATGATGCTGTTTGATTTCTGAAGTTCGCTATTGCTCATCTTCCTTGCAATTTGGTATCGGAGTTGTGGTTCGGTGCGCTAATATGACGCTTGTCTTCTGCCTAATGCAGTACATGCACGTGGTGTGTGCGGTGAGCGACCGTGCCGTGGGACGTGTGTAGTGAGGAGGGCGAAGATAAGCAGGCGACCCAGGTGGAGAGGGGATCGCCAGGAAGGCTAACTGGTGAAGATTGGGTATTCGCAATGTGATGAGAACTATCCGGTGTGTGATTGATGCTGAGGTGGAACGGTGGTGCAATGCTGGTTGTGCCGAGGCAGTGATTGGTCATCACAATCAACATCGGGTCATCTGGTGAGAATATTTGTGGTTGGGGGCAGCTATTTTGAGGTACGTTGCACCTAACCTTATCTACCCTCTTCAACACTTCTTACCGTGAGGATGTCTGTTCTGTCGTGACAGTCCTCTCATGTGAGGAGTCGTGTGCGCTCAACCTTGAGAGTCGCCAGTCTTCACGTGGAGCATCTGGAAGGAGAGGGCGGTGCTATCTGAAGGGCCCTGGACGAAGCACTGGGTCACGGTCACCATGCCAACCCACCGGGAGTAGAGCAC